TAGCACAAATGGCTAATATAACAAAGAGTGAAAAATTTAAGGGGGTCTGAATACTTTCCGTACCCACTGTATGTATGCATGCATTTTTAAATATGCATTTAAATATATTTGAAGAAATTGACTGATTCATTTAGCTTTTATTTTTATATTTTCAGTTTTAATTTTAAATTTAATTTAAGTTTTAGTAATTTTATTGATTTTGTATATGTTTTTTTTAGTTTTTGTATTTTTTAATATCTATATAGCTTTATTTTTTATTTCAGTTTTAGAGATTTTTAGTATTTAAACTTAATTGTCAGTTTTTCAGGTTTTTATATCAAGGTTTTATTTTATTTCAACTTTATTGAACTGAATGAAAATGACTTGAAATAGTTTTAGTAAAGAAGAACAACACAATGCATGTTTTTAATGCATGCATTTAAATATGTTTGAAGAAAGTGTTTTTTGTCTTTTCAGTGAATTAGTTGAGATCCAGTTCACATAATTGCCAATTGAAAATATCCGAATCTACTCATGCATCTTGCTTTTCTTTCTTACTCCATTAATTCTCCTCCTCCTCTAGCGCTCTTAAAGCTGTCGTGTGGTAAAAACACCTTCAGGAGTGTTTTATGGAGTCTGATAATAAACTGAGTGAACGTCTGATGAAATGTAGGCAGCCGATTGAACACAGACTCATTTTCTCTCTCTCTCTCTCTCTCTGTGCAGGATGCCGTTGGTCTTCACACTTCTCTGCCTGTGCGTTTTAAAGATGGGTTGCTTCTCCGCATCTGTCACTCAAGCCACCGTCCAATCAGGTGAGAGTCGAGTCTGATTAAGCGGCTGTGATTGGTCAGTCTGTGGCTGGTGAAGTATGAATCCTCTATTGCTCTCTTGCCTGAGACTATATCCATCCTCCTAATCTATCGGCAACCAATCAGATCTCACATTTGAATAATTGATCCGATGAGGAGCCTCACATTAGATCTTCCCACCAATCAGCAGGAGTGTCTCCAGAGGTCTGTGTGAACGAGCTTAAATCACAGAATCTTCATCTACATCTTCAGAAATAGTGCTGAATGATGCAAACGAAATAAATAAATAAATAAGTAAATAAATAAATAAATGAGAATGAGTGAATGAATCTGGACTGATGGAAATGAGAGTGTTTTCCAGTGCATTTTTAAGCTTTGATTATCTTGTTTTGGATGTTTGTTTGTTTTTGCATATATGAAGGATGCAGAACAAGATTGTGGTCAGACGTTTTATTTTCAGTACTTTATGAATTATGTTAGTTTATTTAATTGCTGTTTGCTCAGCACCAGGATTTTTATCGATAACTAAAACTATAATCATAATATTTTGTTACTTAAAACAAAATAAACAAAAAGAAATAAAATAATAAATAACTTACAAATATTTTATTCCATATAGTTTCCAAGGCAATATTTCTAATTTTTATTTAGTTTAACTTGAAGTACTAAAATATCTCAAACTAAATCAATAAAAATCAACATAAAATAATAAAGACATATTAAAAAAATTAAAATGAGAAAAAAAACATGCAACAAAATTACTAAAATTAAAAAATTAAAGTGAAATCTAAATATAGACATACAAATAAATGCAAAATATTAATACAAATTATAATAGTATATCACTGATACCAAAATAATGCTTGAATTTAACGTTAATATAGATAACAACATGATGCATGCAGTATTATTTTAGTATTATTAATATACTAGTATTTATTTTGAATTAGCTTTTATTTTTGTTTTCAATTTTCATTAAAATTTTTGTTTAAGTTTTAGTAATTTTGTTATGTGCTTTCGTCATTTTAATTAGTTTTTGTGTTTTTTATTTAGCTTAAATTTATTTTTATTTCAGTTTTAATAATTTTAGTACTTTAAATTTCAGTTCTAAATTTTGTTTTTTTTGTTTTTTTTTTAAGTTTATCATCTATTTATATTCTACTTTATTTAGGCTTTATTTCAATTACTGAAAACGATTTTTAATAGTTTTAGTTAACAATAACAACACTAGATGCATGTTGCATATTAACGTAATACATACCTGACGTCATAAATTAAAGGAAATGCCTTTGTTATTGCAATTCATGCATGATTTCCTCATTAAAAATAAAACCAACTCAAAGAATCAAGTGAAAAGTTCCTCCAAAACTGGATTTCGTGACTTTTTACGAAATCCCTTTAAACAACATTACACAAAGACTTTTGTGCAATCTTACAAAATTAGGTTAAACATCCAAAAACAAGATTTTACGAAATCTGCCGAGAGGTATTTTAATGAAGCACAGGAAGTGATGTTTCCTTCTGAGCCGGTGCGTCTCAAACTCGACAGACGGCGTGATGTATGAAAGCTCCTCCTAAAGACACCGGCTTTCAGAGCGCCTTAACATAACGTCTAATGATCTAGAACACATTCAAGGGAGTTTCAGCGGGAACCAAATAATGCAGAGACCTTATATCGATATATGAATATTGCAGCAGCAGCTGTTTTCAGGTTTCGTCCAGCAGCTGTATCACATGTGCTGTTATATGTCATAATATTAGCGCGGTCATGGGATTACGGGCAGGTTGCACCTCTGGAAGCAGGGGTTAATTAAAAACGCTTCCCGCTGTGGGACAGGAAATGGATTGTTTCAGGAGGGGGGTCATTTATAATGGCGTGCGGTGTGTGTGAGCGCTTGTACTAAGACACTCTTAATAGGAAGACTAATCCCCTCCCAGTCACAAAGTGACAGACCAATTACACACACACACACCACCGGTCCTCCCCCTTCAGTGGCCCAGCGCTCGCTCCGTCCATCCCACAGACAGATCCTGACATCACCTGCCCGTCTGCGTGTGTGTGTGGTATGAATGAGAATCTGTGCGTGTGTGTGTGTGTGCATGTGTGCTTGTGTGTATGTGCATGTGTGCGTTTGTGTGTGTGTGTGTGCGTGTGCGTGTGCGTGTGTGTGTGCATAGGTGTGTGTGTGTGTCTTTGAGTGTGTATGTGTGTGTGGTATGAATAAGAATCTGTGTGTGTGTGTGGTATGAATGAGAATCCATGTGTGTGTGTGTGTGTGTCTTTGAGTGTGTATGTGTGCACGTGTGTGTGTGTGTGTGTGTGAGAGAGAGAGAGCGAGAGAAAGAGAGAAAAAGAGCGTGCCTAGGTATTAATTTCATATTGATGCATTAGTTGCTGATGTGTGAGTTTTAAGCTGTAATTGATTCAGCCTTTTTAACGTTTTAACTTTTACACCATGTTCATGTCATAAATTTGATTGCTCAATTACCTAATATTGATTTGCACGCAATAATGTGTGTGTGTGTGCAAGGGTTTGAGTGTACAAGTGCGTGTTTGAGCTCATGCAGAGGAAATTTTATTGCTCAAATGTTTCGCTTTCATAGCTCATGGGATGTAATGGAGTTATTAGTTATGTTTTGTTGAAGTACATTACCGGTCAAAAGTTTGGAATAATTATGATTTTTAAAAATGTTTTCAAAGAAGCCTCTTCTGCTCACCAAGGCTGCTTTTATTTGGGCAAAAATACAGTAAAAACTGTAATATTATAAAATATTCTGTGTGAATATCTGTTAAACTGTTAAATAAATTTATTTCTGTGATCAAAGCTGAATTTTCAGCATCATTACTCCAGTCTTCAGTGTCACATGATCTTCAGAAATCATTCTAATATGCTGATTTGCTGCTCAAGAAACATTCATTATTATTATCAATGTTGAAAGCAGTTGTGCTGCTCAATATTTTTCAGAAAACCATCCAAAAGTTTGGGGTAAGTAGAAAGAAAGTAATACTTTTATTCAGCAAGGATGCATTAAAT